GGATGGTACCCTTTGCCCCTACAGGTGGGCTGGGATTGTAACTTTTTTTGTTGGCAATCCCAACACGCCAAAGGGGGTCTACTCGTTCAGGGTATCAACTCATTTGCTTTGGTTGTTGACAGTTTATGGAGACCTACTAATTTTAGCTTATATTTGGGATGTTAAATAGTTCATCAGTTTTTTGACTAGCGAGAAATGAATAAAGGGGTGTTAAATGTGTTTCCTTTTTTTGGGTTACCCTATATCAGGTAGGGGGACCAAAATTGGTTTTGTGACATAAATACCATATCATTAAAAATTCAAAGATCAATGCATTGGTCATGCATTTAATATGAATAATACAGTAAGATATATCAGATTATTTTAAAAAATCTTTACCATAATCCATAAATACTTAGCATTTTTTCTGTGTCCTCTCTTTTTGGCATGACCCCCATTGACTGGGGGATTGTCCGTGGCACACTACCCGAACATGAAGGAAGGGCATATTAAACCCTCATACCCCCCCACACCCTATGTATCCGATGGTTCTCATGAAATCTGACCTCATTCCCCCTCCTGCCTTATTATCTTACACTTTTATGAATACGAGCCTCCCTCACCCTATGATCCATGGTTCTCAGAAAACTTATTCTGCATTGGGGGGACAAACCGTAGGGTCATACAGCACCAGGAAAATGGGGGAACTGATTCATTCTAAAGGGAAAAGGGAGGGTAGTTTAGTTTTTTGTGTCAAGAGGGGTTTCACCCAAACATCCTTCACCCCACCACCCTGCCCAAAAAGTGCAATACATTTTCCCTAGATGCTTCCCGTCCCGCGGGTCTTCCCCGTAAAGAGTAGAGAACAGTATTAAAACCCCCTATCAGGAAAATTTTCCCTTTGAAGATGGACGAAGCTCTGAACCTACACTCCTTGAAAAAAAAGAAATATGGGGACAACTAGGAGACAGTACAGTATAGAAAGACAAAAAAAAAAAAACTCAAAAATTTAACCAATATTTTTTAACAAATTATATTTTAATATTACAGTACTGCAGTTTAGAAAAAAATGTTTAAATACACTTTGTGACACTTTTGGATGATCAGGGGAAAGTTCATAAGCTTTTCCCTGTACAGGAGGGCCCCCACATGCCAGCACCTCTTTTCAGTGTTCCTTGCTTTTTTGACTTCAAACTGACCTTGTTCATTAGTACACTCATGATGTTTTCACCAGCAAGTGGAACATTGGCTCATTTGCAAGCCAATAAAAGTGGAACATTGAAAAGGGTACGTATATGGTGGGCCCCCCTTTAAAAGTTCACTTTCAGTATATGTTCCCCGTAAAGGGCAAAATAGTATATTACAAAACACATTCTTTTGTACAGTCCATATACCATGGTTTTTTTTAAAAGGAAATATTGTTGCAACTGCACAACTCTGCAAAGACAGTGATTTTTGGGGGGAAAAGATGGGAGTTTTTTTTTTTTGGGGACCTTGCCCCGGTGGGAAAATGGGAACATGTTGAAAGTGAATAGGGAAAAAATTTTTTTTAATGTTACATGTTTAAATGTGATAAATGCACAAAGTGTATGATGTTTCCTGTTTAAATTTTTTATTCATAGGGAAGTACTACAACCCTAAGGATAAACTAATTTTCCCCCCCGGAAAAACAAGTATAGTGTAAAAGATGGTGAAGTGTTTTTTTTCAGGGCACCCCACTCGGTGGGAGAGGACCAGTGTGTTAAAAAAAATAACAGGGAGCCGGGAGGCCGGGCTTGATTTCCTGGGGAGGAAGTCAGTGCCGCACCTGAAGGGGGGGTGTTAATGTTGCGTTTAAAAACTGTAGGTAGGCGTTTCCTCTAGCAAGACAGTGATAGAGTGAGTGATGAAGAAAGTTTTTCTTTTTTGGGCCACCCTGCCTTGGTGGGAAATGGCCGATGTGTTAATAAAAAATAAATAATAGTTCATTTCTTTGTACATACCATACAAATGATTTACAGGCAGGCCCTGGTTTTCAGCAATTCACTTTACAGCATTTTACTAATGCAGCAGTTTTCATTTATACCCATTTTTCATTTATTCATACTTCCTAAAATAAATATATTCACCAGTCACTAAGCTAAGGACAAAAATATTTTAAGGTAAGTAATGTATGTCTTAGGTCACACTCAATAGTGTACAAGATATAAACCCCACCCCCCTTGGTTTTCTGCTATTTTTTTTTAGTTCTTGTTCTTGTTTTTCCTCTTATCTCCCTGGGGAAGTGGGGAAAAGAATTTTTCCCCTAACCATGCTGTGTAAAAAGGCGACTGAAAAGCCAGGAGCAAGGGGCTAGTAACCCTTCCTGATATATTATAAATTGAAAGGAGAAAATTTGTTTTTCCCTTTTTGGGCCACCCCCCCGGGGGGTAAGGCTGGGCGTTTAAAAAAGAAGAGCTCACTGAGTTTAAAAAGGAAAAGGTTTTGGAGGGTTATTATTGAAAGAATTAGAGGTAAGAAGAATTTAGGATTGCGTGAGCAAGGTTGTTTCAGAGTTGGGAGGGGATGTTAATCAAGTGTTTACTTGAAACATAATGTGAACATATTTGAAAAAGGTAGGGAAGTTTTTATTGCTTTATGGGTTTTGAAAAGGCTATTTGAGAGATAGGGGGGCAATGTGGCAGTTTTTGCCAAGTATATGGAATGGGGGGCTCAAGTTTGGGGGGTGTAGAAAAGAGGGAGACTCTTCCGGGTAAAAAATAGGGCTTAGCGGGGTGTGTAATGTCACCAAATATTGTGAATTAGATTAGCCCATTTCAGCCCCCCTAACATCTGTAAAAACCATTACATAAAAACATTCTTTGTCCTGTTTAAGGGGCAATGTGTGGTTTTTATTAGCAGAAAATTTCGGAGTGGGGAAAATTGGAGAAGGTGTGGAGTTAATAAAAGTATTAGTCAGGGGCAAAAGAGGGTTGTTGAGGTGGTTTGGTCTTTTAGAGAGAATGGATAAAAGTAGAATGACATGGAAAGCATATAAATTATAGGGGAAGGAAGGCGGGGTAGGGGTCGCCCTCGAAAGGGTTGGAGAGAGGGGGTAAGGGGGTTTTGGGGGTTTAAGGGGTTTGGGACTTCCAGCAAGTTTTGGGAGGTTTTAGATGGAGTGAATGGAGACGAATGGATTGGGACCTGCGATTGTTGGAGTGTGAGCGGTTTTAATTTTAGTAAAGGGATTCGGGGAAAAAAGGGGTTTTTTTCATTGTCGGATTTGAGCCCTGGAAAGGGGAATAAAAATGCCTGCATTTTAAGGAGGGGTTTGGGATTTGGCAGTTTGGAGGGATATGTTGTGTATCTTTATATGTGTATGCTTTAGACTGTTGTATTCTGACACCTCTGCAAAAACAGTGAAAATGTGGAGTGTGGTGAAAGTGTTAAATGATGTGAAAGTATTTTCTTTTTGGGGATTTTCTTTTTTTTGGGTACCTCCCTGGGTGGGAGCGGCCGACTTGTTGAAAAAAAAAAAAAAAAAAAAAAAAAAAAAAAAAATTGGTCGCTTGGGGCTGATTGTAAAGGGGGGGGGGGCCCACTGTATTTATAGATGGAGTTGTAAAAGATGTAAATGCTAGGGTGTTCAGGGGGGGTGGGATTAAATTATGGGGGGAAACAAAAACAAAAAGGGAAATTGACACAGTTTCTTTTTGTGTGATACTGTGTTTGGGAGATTCTAAAGAAAAAATTTCAAAGGTTAGTGGGAGGTTTGGGAGTGTGTGTAAAGGTAGAAAATTGAAAGTGAAAATAGAAAAAGAGTAAGGTGATAGAGTATCAAGATTTTTAAAAAAGAAAAAATTTGGGTATCAAAATTTGGGGGGGATTTTGGAAGGAATGTTTTAGATCTTTTGGGTTGACGTGTTGGGGGATGGATTTTTGAAGGATGAGGTTAAACATAGAATGATGAGGGAAAAAAAAGGTGTTTTAGTGGTGCATTGAGGTATATGTGAGACAAAAAAAAAAGTTATTATGGGCGCAAAAAAAGGAATGTATGAAAGTATAGTAGTACAAAAACTCTTTTTTTTTAATTTTTTTTTTATTTTAAGCAAGGGGCCCAAATTTTTAAAATTTTTAAAAATATTATATTTTTTTAAATTAATTTTGGGTGTGGAAAATTGGGGGGTGGAGTTTTTGTTTTTAGCAGGGGCTTTTAAGAGGGGTTGTTGAGGTGGTTGGTTTATTTAGAGAGAATGGCAAAGAGAAGAAAGGAGAGCATTTAAATCTGTAGGGGGAAAGGGAAGGGAGGGTAGGGGTTGTCCCCGAAAAAAGGGTTTGAAGGAAGGGTTAAGGGAGGTTTTGTGGGCGAGGGGCTTGGACTTCCAGCAGGCGTGCATGAGCGTGTTCAATAAGAGTGAATGGAGACGAATGGTATTTGGGACCTGACGATCTGTTGGAGTGTGAGCAGGGTAATATTTAGTGAAGGGATTCAGAGAAACTGGTTATTTTTATATAGCTGGACTTGAGTCCTGGAAATGGGAAGTACAATGCCTGCACTCTAAAGGAGGGGTTTCGGGATATGTTGTGTATCTTTATACGTACAGTATATGCTTCTAAACTGTTGTGTTATGAGCACCTCTGCAAAAAAAGTGATTATGTATGAGTGAGGTGAAAGTGTTGAATGATGATGAAAGTATTTTCTTTTTGGGGATTTTCTTTCTTTTTGGGTCACCGTACCTCGGTGGGAGACGGCCGACTTGTTATAAAAAAAAAAGTATGTAAACGAAAATCAACTTGTATATAAGGTTCTCTACTTTCTGCAGTTTCGGGTCTCCATGGCAGGTCTTATAACATATCACCCACAGATACGTGGGGGGGGGGATTCTTCTGTACACACAAATACCAACTGTAAACTTTATTAAGACTTAATAGTCTGCTGCACAGGGGAAACATCATCAGGGGCTCTGGTGGCCTGGTGGTTAACGCTCTCGCTTCACACGGTGAGGGCCTGGGTTCGTTTCCCAGCCAGAGTAGAAACATTGGACGTGTTTCTTTCCACCTGTTGTCTATGTTCCCCATCAGTAAAATGGGTACCTGGGTGTTAGTCGACTGGTGTGGGTCGCATCCTGGGACACTGACCTAAGGAGGCCTGGTCACAGACCGGGCCGCGGGGGCGTTGACCCCCGGAACTCTCTCCAGATAAACTCTCTCCAGATAATAAAAGTTTCAAATTAATGCTTGTGTCTTTATGAAGCACAAGGTAAACACTGCTTCTGTGTATTTATAGTTTGGCCAAAAGTAGTGGCCAGTTTCATGACTATTATGGAGGGCTAGAGGAATTGGAAAATAAGAGTAAACAGCTTCAAACTACATTGTTTTGAAGTGTATCACTTTGATAAAATATAAATTTAATGTCCAGAGGACAAAATGTTTTATTATGATTTTGTTAACAAGAGTATCCAAGGTAAAATACAGATGTCTTCACTAGAGAGGCAGCTTTAGGAAAAAAGAAGAATTTGAAGCATACGAGTAAACGCAGTCTTTACAAAATTCTGGGAATAGCCAAGAATTTCTATGTAAATTAAGGGGCCAAAAATATGGAATAACTTATCAGATGAAATGAAAACTTAGTAATAATGGTAGAATTACTGACAAAAATGTTAGGTAAAAGGACACAGATGCTACTAATGTGACATTTTATTGTCAACTAATCAAGCAATGTGACATTTTATTACTCTCCGGTAACTGCCAAGTCATAACGCTTTGACAAAGCTCCTGGAGAGCAAAACACTGCCACAATAAAACATCACATTAGTTGTATCTATGTCTACTTACCTAACAAATAAAAACTTGCTGAACACTTAGTGAATTCAAGTAAAAGCTAAAACAAGTACAGTGGAACCTCGGTACTCAAACAGCTCCCTACTCGAACAAAGCTCAGCACTTTACCAAACAAACACAACCTGCCAGAACTTTGCTGTAAACTATTTTGTGTTTCTTCGCATTTTTTTTTATATTTGTATAAATAAGTCACCATGGGGCTTACAAAGATTAGTGATAACAGCCAACCAAAAAGAAAATTGGTTGGGAAGAATTTGTTCGATACTGAAATGGATCAGCACTCAAACAGCCTTCTGGAAAGAATTAAGTTCAAGTACTGAGGTTCCACTGTACTATTATTACAATCATAACAGGCACTAGGGCCATACAGCACTCCTAAAACAAGTATTGTGTGCCTAAATGATATAATCCTGTTATTTCTAACCTGTCACTTACTACAGTTATTAAATAATGTCTAACTGTAAACTAATAACTTATTTTTGTTATTATATTGTACCATTCAACCTTTTCCAGTTTGTTGTTAATGTTTAGTGAATAATTTTCTAAACTGTATCTCAACTGATATTCTTAACCTCATGTCAATAAGCACAAATATGTTGAAAGGCGGCGGCTTGATATATGCCTAAATGTTGTGCATACTATGGCCTTTCAAATTACTGTACCATGTATTACAGTATGCACTGTAATAAATGTGTTAATGTTGCAGTTTAAAAACTGTAGTGTAAAGCACCCTTCTGGCAAGACAGTGATGGAGTGAATAATGGTGAAAGTTTTTCTTTTTCGGGCCACCCTGCCTTGGTGGGAATCGGCCAGTGTGATAATAATAATAATAATAAATTATTATTATTATTATTATTATTATTATTATAAGAGAATGAGCTATAAAATTTTTAATTTCAATCAAAAAAATGAAAATACGTAATAAATATCAGTACGAGGAACATGAGTGAGCATGTTGGTGGAGACAAATGGTTATTGGGATTTGACGAGCTACTGGAGTGTGAGTAGGGTAATATTTTGTGAAGGGATTCAGGGAAACCGGTTAGCCATACTTGAGTCCTGGAGGTGGGAAGTACAATGCCTACACTTGAAAGGAGGGGTTTGGGATATCTGCTGTTTGGAGTAACATCTGAACTGTCGTATCATCGCACCTCTGCAAAAATAGTGATTATGTGTGAATGATGGTGAAAGTGTTTCTTTTTTTGGGTCACTCTTGCCTCAGTGGGAGATGACCAGTGTGTAAAAAGAAAAGGAGAAAAACAAACACATATCTTAAGACATTATACATGATGGGTGTGTACGTTTCAATGCTAATCTCAATGTTTGGGACTAAAGTATTCTTAATTGGAAGAGTACAGGTACAATGAACCTTAACCCTTAAACTTTCCAAACATAGATCTACGTTCACATATGTAGTGCTCCAAAAGTAGATCTATTTTTTTTTTACATATTTTCAAATTATTCTTCTTCTTCAACGTACCAGCCGTATCCCACTGAGGTGGGGTGGCCCAAAAAGAAAAACGAAAGTTTCTCTTTTTAAATGTAGTAATTTATACAGGAGAAGGGGTTACTAGCCCCTTGCTCCCGGCATTTTAGTCGCCTCTTACAACACTCATAGCTTACGGAGGAAGAATTCTGTTCCACTTCCCCATGGAGATAAGAGGAAATAAACAAGAACAAGAACTAGTAAGAAAATAGAAGAAAACCCAGAGGGGTGTGTATATGTATGCTTGTACTTCCAGCAAGTGTGCATGAGCGTGTTAGATAGGAGTGAATGGAGACGAATGGTATTTGGGACCTGACGAGCTGTTGGAGTGTGAGCAGGGTAATATTTAGTGAAGGGATTCAGGGAAACCGGTTATTTTATACAGCCGGACTTGAGTCCTGGAAATGGGAAGTACAATGCCTGCACTCTAAAGGAGGGGTTTGGGATATTGGCAGTTTGGAGGGATATATTGTGTATTTTTATATGTATATGCTTCTAAACTGTTGTATTCTGAGCACCTCTGCAAAAACTGATTATGTGTGAGTGACGCAAAAGTGTTGAATGATGAAAGTATTTTCTCTTTGGGGATGGCTTACGGAGGAAGAATTCTGGTCCACTTCCCCATGGAGATAAGAGGAAATAAACAAGAACAAGAACTAGAAAGAAAATAGAAGAAAACCCAGTGGGGTATGTATATATATGTTTGTACATGCATGTGTAGTGTGACCTAAGTGTAAGTAGAAGTAGCAAGATGTACCTGAAATCTTGCATGTTTATGAGACAGAAAAAAGACACCAGCAATCCTACCATCATGTAAAACAATTACAGGCTTTCGTTTTACACTCACTTGGCAAGACGGTAGTACCTCCCTGGGCGGTTGCTATCTACCAACCTACTACCTAGAATATTTTCAAATATAAAAAAAAATGTAGATCAAAGTTTTTTACACTCTTTAAATGTAAAAAAAAAAAATACGTTTTTTTACATACTTTCAAATGTTGAAAAAATGTAGATCTACGTTTGGACAGTTTAAGGGTTGATGACCCTCATGTAATCAACAGAACAACTCCACAAAATTAAAAACAAGCTCATAACTGCATTAACCATAACTCATTAATTATTACATATGGAATGTAAATGATAAAGTGATAGACATTGTTTTTTAATAAATATACTGTCAACAGATGAGCTTACACATTATATAAAAGCAACAGCTAATTATCTTGAGATAAAGTTATGACTGTCCCACCATCATGCAAACTGGGTTGCTTTTCTAAACATATCTTCTCTGCTGCTTCAGATCCAACTTTACACACAAACACTGGTATGGTTCCCTTGTTTTGTACAACAATGTTTATAGCTGAGCTTAGTTTGAGCTCGATTCCTCCTGTGACATCACAGCTTAGTGCATCTGTGGCAATCTTCTGTGCAATTTTTCCATTTTTATCCACTATAATATTTGATAATAGTTTAGCATCTGAAACACAGAATATAATTAGTTTTTTCACAAAGAAAGTGGAGCTGAAAGGATACTATAAAAGCTTTTCACACTGATGCAACAATAGAATGAATTAAAAGAGGAGGTAATAAGTCACTTTGTCTGACTTTTTTGGATTATCCTACATAACTTACATTATGTATTATAACTGTACTTATATGCACCTGTGCCTCAACAAACTTACATACTGCCTTACTTACAATCACTGGAAATTAAAAAAAAAATTATAGTATGTATATGATGAATTATCTACTGTAGATGAAAGACCAAAAGCACAGCTCTGCTTCTGTAGCTAATAAGAGAATATCACAAAAATCGCACTCAAATATAAGAATATCTGATACAGAGAAAGATCTTGAGTGATTATACAAATTTATCACCAGAATATCAAATAAATGCTGTTGTTAGACGTGCCTATGCAATATTAGTCTTCAAAATGGATATTTTTTTTTTTCAACACACCAGCCATCTCCCACCGAGGCAGGATGACCCAAAAATAAAGAAAAACCCAAAAGGAAAGAAAAAACTTTCATCATTCAACACTTTCACCATCACTCATACATAATCACTATCTTTGCAGAGGCACTCAGATATGACAGTTTAGATGTCCCTCCAAACTGCAAATATTCCAAACCCCTCCTTCAAAGTGCAAGTATTGTACTTCCCATTTCCAGGACTGAAGTCCGACTATATGAAAATAACCGGTTTCCTTGAATCCCTTCACTAAATATTACCCTGCTCACACTCCAACAGATCATAAGGTCCCAAGTACCATTCGTCTCCATTCACTCCTATCTAACACGCTCACGCAAGCTTGCTGGAAGTCCAAGCCCCTTGCCCACAAAACCTCCTTGACCCCCTCTCTCCAACTCTTTCGAGGACGCCCCCTACCCCGCCTTCCTTCCCCTATAGATTTATATGCTTTCCATGTCATTCTACTTTGATCCATTCTCTCTAAATGACCAAACCACCTCAACAACCCCTCTTCTGCCCTCTGACTAATACTTTTATTAACTCCACACCTTTTCCTAATTTCCACACTCCGAATTTTCTGCATAATATTTACACCACACATTGCCCTTAAACAGGACATCTCCACTGCCTCCAACCATCTCCTTGCTGCTGCATTTACCACCCAAGCTTCACACCCATATAAGAGTGTTGGTACTACTATACTTTCATACATTCCCTTCTTTGCCTCCATAGATAACATTTTTTGACTCCACATATACCTCAATGCACCACTCACCTTTTTTCCCTCATCAATTCTATGATTAACCTCATCCTTCATAAATCCATCCGCCGACACGTCAACTCCCAAGTATCTGAAAACATTCACTTCTTCCATACTCCTCCTCCCAATTTGATATCCAATTTTTCTTTATCTAAATCATTTGATACCCTCATCACCTTACTCTTTTCTATGTTCACTTTCAACTTTCTACCTTTACACACATTCCCAAACTCATCCACTAACCTTTGAAATTTTTCTTTAGAATCTTCCATAAGCACAGTATCATCAGCAAAAAGTAACTGTGTCAATTCCCATTTTGAATTTGATTCCCCAAAATTTAATCCCACCCCTCTCCCGAACACCCTAGCATTTACTTCCTTTACAACCCCATCTATAAATATATTAAACAACCATGGTGACATTACACATCCCTGTCTAAGACCTACTTTTACCAGGAAGTAGTCTCCCTCTCTTCTACACACCCTAACCTGAGCCTCACTATCCTCATAAAAACTCTTTACAGCATTTAATAACTTACCACCTATTCCATATACTTGCAAATCTGGCACATTGCTCCTCTATCCACTCTATCATATGCCTTTTCTAAATCCATAAATGCAATAAAAACTTCCCTACCTTTATCTAAATACTGTTCACATATATGCTTCAATGTAAACACTTGATCTACACATCCCCTACCCACTCTGAAACCTCCTTGCTCATCCGCAATCCTACATTCTGTCTTACCTCTAATTCTTTCAATTATAACCCTACCGTACACTTTTCCTGGTATACTCAGTAAACTTATTCCTCTATAATTTTTATAGTCTCTTTTGTCCCCTTTCCCTTTATATAAAGGGACTATACATGCTCTCCGCCAATCCCTAGGTACCTTCCCCTCTTTCATACATTTATTAAACAAAAGTACCAACCACTCCAACACTATATCCCCCCTGCTTTTAACATTTCTGTCATGATCCCATCAGTTCCAGCTGCTTTACCCCCTTTCATTCTACGTAATGCCTCACGTACCTCCCCCACACTTACATTCTGCTCTTCTTCACTCCTAAAAGATGGTATACCTCCCTGACCAGTGCATGAAATTACTGCCTCTCTTTCTTCCTTAACTTTTAAAAGTTCCTCAAAATATTCTCGCCATCTACCTAATACCTCCATCTCCCCATCTACTAACTCCCCTACTCTGTTTTTAACTGACAAATCCATACTTTCCCTAGGCTTTCTTAACTTGTTTAACTCACTCCAAATTTTTTTCTTATTTTCATTAAAATTTCTTGACAGTGCCTCTCCCACTCTATCATCTGCTCTCCTTTTGCACTCTCTCACCACTCTCTTTACCTTTCTTTTACTCTCCATATACTCTGCTCTTCTTATAACACTTCTGCTTTGTAAAAACCTCTCATAAGCTACCTTTTTCTCTTTTATCACACCCTTTACTTCATCATTCCACCAATCACTCCTCTTTCCTCCTGCCCCCACCCTCCTATAACCACAAACTTCTGCCCCACATTCTAATACTGCATTTTAAAACTATTCCAACCCTCTTCAACCCCCCACTACTCATCTTTGCACTAGCCCACCTTTCTGCCAATAGCCGCTTATATCTCACCAGAACGTCCTCCTCCCTTAGTTTATACACTTTCACCTCCCTCTTACTTGTTGTTGCCACCTTCCTCTTTTCCCATCTACCTCTTACTCTAACTGTAGCTACAACTAAATAATGATCCGATATATCAGTTGCTCCTCTATAAACATGTACATCCTGGAGCCTACCCATCAACCTTTTATCCACCAATACATAATCTAATAAACTACTTTCATTACGTGCTACATCATACCTTGTATATTTATTTATCCTCTTTTTCATAAAATATGTATTACTTATTACCAAATCTCTTTCTACACATAGCTCAATTAAAGGCTCCCCATTTACATTTACCCCTGGCACCCCATATTTACCCTCTATAAAATTTTTACCCACTTTAGCATTGAAATCCCCAGCCACCATTACTCTCACACTTGATTCAAAACTCCCCACGCATTCACTCAACATTTCCCAAAATCTCTCTCTCTCTCTACACTTCTCTCTTCTCCAGGTGCATACACGCTTATTATAACCCACTTTTCACATCCAATCTTTATTTTACTCCACATAATCCTTGAATTAATACATTTATAGTCCCTTTTCCTGCCATAGCTTATCCTTCAACATTATTGCTACTCCTTCTTTAGCTCTAACTCTATTTGAAACCCCTGACCTAATCCTATTTATTCCTCTCCATTGAAACTCTCCCACCCTCTTCAGTTTTGTTTCACTTAAAGCCAGGACATCCAGCTTCTTCTCATTCATAACATCCACAATCATCTCTTTCTTATCATTTGCACAACATCCACGCACATTCAGACTTCCCACTTTGACAATTTTCTTCTTCTTATTCTTTTTAGTAATCTTTACAGGAAAAGGGGTTACTAGCCCATTGTTCCCGGCATTTTAGTTGACTTTTACAACACGCATGGCTTACGGAGGAAAGATTCTTATTCCACTTCCCCATGGATATAAAAGGAAAAGTAATAAGACCAAGAACTATTAAGATAAAATCAAAGAAAAACTCAGATGAGTGTGTATAAATAAATGTGTACATGTATGTGTAGTGTGACCTAAGTGTAAGTAGAAGTAGCAAGAATATATATAGGTTAAATTGTTCACAGTATGTGTTAGACCCCAAACTGGAGTAGTGAGTGCACCATACACAGAGGTTGCATGGTGTTTGGATTTAATATAATGTAACAAAATAGAAAAAGTTTGAAAAGATGTAAGAAAAATGGTTAATGAGCAAGAAATATATATTATAAAATATACTGAAAGTATTAAACTGTCCTGAATTGGAAAAAATATGATAAATCTCTTGCTACCTACATGCTTGACATATTAAGATTTTCTTTTAAGAACTGCCAAAAAATTGTAAACATCTGGTATATGTAAACAAAATCTACTGTTTTCTTTGCAAACAGTGAGAGTGATGATGGAACTAGTATCAAGAGGAGGTGCAACAGCCAAAACACCATAAGCATAGAGCTATTCTTGTGATATTAAATACACAGAGGCAAACCCCACTTTCCACAGCTTTTCTTTACAGTGTTTTCCTAATGCAGCAGTTTTCAATTATGCCCATTCTTCATTTATTCAGACTTCCTACAATAAATATATTCACCACTAACTATAAGCAAGGATGAAAATATTTTAAGGCAAGTAATGTGTGAAATGTACAGGTACTCCTCACTTAACCCTTTCAGGGTCACCAGGCCCTCTCTGAGAATTGTTCTCAGGGTCGCCCAAAGTTCTAAAAAAAAAAAAAAATTATTTTTTCTTATGAAAAGATAGAGAATATTTTCCCGGTCATAATGACACCAAAAGTATGAAAGTTGATGGAAAACATACGAAATTATGTTCTCGCGAAGTTAGCGTTCTTGACGATGTTTATGCATCGGCGATTTTGCCCACTTTGAGCCCTATTTTCGGCCAATTCCAGTGTAATAGTCGACAAAAATCATAACTATTTCACTAGAACTCCATATGTTCTATCGAATGAGTACAAGAAACCACCCATTTACCGATTTCAACTATCCAATAATGTGGTCAGAATTTAGCAATTTTGCCAATTTCACACAAATTTCAAAAGATGCCAATTTCCGAATAGGGTCCAGAATAAACAAGAATAACATTCCT